TTGTGCTTCTTCATATATAATTGTGAAATTGACTAGCTACTTCTGACTGAAAATTGATTCTACACCAGTTACTTTCAGTGTTTAGTAAATACGTTGTTCATAAATATTACTCAGTACTTTATTTGTGTAATTACACTGTAACAAGGACACCATGAAATGTTACCAAGGTGTTACTTTAAGTGTTACCTAAGATAAGTAGGTTTAAGGAATAAACGTTAAAACGGCTTGCCATAAGAACTCCTCCATCTCATACTAACTGAAGCATGCACCTGCGGTATTCATCAATCTGAAGTCTACATCACACTTCTGGAAGTACATGTGGACGTTTGCCTTGTGAAACTGACCCACAAATACGCGCGCAAGAATGTGGAAAACTTTTGCGCGTTTTCAAAGCCAGTGTGCATCTCACCTTTGGGGAAAGGGTTTGGTTGAACCACGTACAGAAACGAGTGGACCATGTGGAAAACAATACCGATGGGACCCGGTTCATAATACGCGTGGGTTTCGTACACCACCGACGGCACGAAGCCAAAGTCCAGCGTTTCCACGGGCGCTCTGAGCATCGTGTTGCGCGGAGGCGAATCCCGGTGCTCCTCTCGGGCTTCGCTGCTCGTGAGACCCGAGCACATCACCAGCACGAGCCCCACTTTCCACCACATGCCTGTCAGTCCTTTACGCGGGGAGATTTTGATAAATAACGGGAGGGAACGAAAAGTGGAGGAGAGATAATGTGAGTTTGTTTGTTTGTTTGTTTGGAATGCTCTCTAGTCCTCGACATCAAAAATACAAATTAGAAAAAAATAACCCCAGACACATAAAAAAAATATATATACAAAATAATGAAAAAATATATATTCCAGCTGGTGCGTTTATTCCCCGCTTCCTTTTGATATCTTCATAATAAACATCCCTCGGGTCTGGACAGCTCAGGATGAGCTGAGTGTTTGTCTGACCTCTGTGCGCTCCTCTTCTGTCTGCTCTGCAGTGCACTAGCACTGGAGATGGCTTTAGAGGGAAATCACGTCTAGTGAGTCAAGCCAAGTCACTCAAAGCAGTTTGACATTCCTTTCCTGTGTGGAAGCAGCTGAAATAACCTACAGCACTTAACACTATGCACACAATTCCAAATCGACAATACTGTCAATAATTGCAGATATGAGCCAAGTGATAAATAGCTTCTATAGCTTCATACACTGTTTTGCCCCAGGAGTTGGTTTTTGTTAAAACATATATTTCATCTTAGATTAACAGATTTCAGTTTTTGTTAGTTATTATGTCACAAAACTCCCCCCAATGTTTTATCATGCCTTTTTCTGAATTGATTGATTGATTGATTGATTGATTGAATTAGAACAAATTCAAATTAACTACAGCATCATTACAATTAAATGATCATACATTGATTAATCATAATTCATAATTTCATAAGTTTAATGTTAACACTCTACACTCTAAAAAATGCTGGGTTAAATACAACCCAGTGCTGGGTAAAATAGGGACAAACCCAGCAATTGGGTTGTTTTGACCCAGCATTTTTTAGAGTGTAGTATAGGCACTAATGATCACTATTAACTCTGCACATTTTCTGCATAACCATATTATACATCCCTAATCCTACCCAATACCTAAACTTAACAACTAACTATTAACAAAACAGCAAATTAGGAGTTTATTGAGGCAAAAGTCATACAGTATATGGTTTGTTAATAGCGAGAATTGGACCTTAAAATAAAGTGTGACCAGTTTAATTGGATGTTAAACATACCATATGCTGTAAATCCTATCCTATATACTACAATATAGGCATAGTTCCATTTAAATATTTTATCTTTTTATATTTATGTACTCCACAAAATATTTAAAATTCTTAGACATACTGGTTATCAGACTCAACAGTCAAAGAATGATGATACAGTAACTTAGTGGTCACAACTTTATTAACTAACAGTCATTGTTTACAGAAATACACAGTATTACTCTTTTTTCACACAGTCAAAAAGTCAAATGAGCAGAAAAGCAGCAAATCCGGACTCTGCCAAGACACTAGCTGATGGTCTTCTTCACTGAAATGTCCCACAGCTACATTTGGAACAGCTGAAAAGCCTCTGTGCAGCCATGTGCGCATGGACATGAATACCAATAAACAGAGACAGAGAGTGAGAGAAAGACAGACGTAGAAAGAGGCCACAATCTGTATTATGTCAGACATCACAACCAAACTCAATGCACACACACACACATCACAGAGGGACTGAAAAAGAGAAAAAAGAGAGCTTTGATCAAGGGTATGATAGAGCATTTTAAAGTTACATGATCAGTAAATTAGTACAAAATAAGGATTAAATTCTTCTGGTCTTCATCCATAAACACAGCTGTTATTGCCTTTTAAACTATAACAGATCTTATATCAAATTTAAAAATGTTTAAAAAATAATTGAAAAAAATCTTTTAATATTATGTATCATACCCTCACTATATACGGTGCGGTCGAAGAGTCAAAATCTAATTTAAACCGGTTTATAAACAATATCTTAGAATTTTTTAATATTTGAAGAAACAATTAAAATAGCATAAAAAAAAA